TCCTTTAATCAGTCTTGTGACTCTTCTCTGAACACTCTCCAATTTATCAATATCCTTCTTAAATTGTGCACACCAGAACTAGACACAGTATTCCAGCAGTGGTTGCATCAGTGCCAAATACAGAGATAAAATAATCTCTCTACTCCTGCTTGAGATTCCCCTATTTAGGCATCTGGTCACCCTATTTCCGTATGCATTTCCCCAGGTTTTTTGTAAAAATCAAAACTGAACTGCCCCAGAAATTCTGTCGTGGAATTATCGTGAAACTTGCATGGCTCCAACCCTGCTGATGAACCTTTAGAGCCACTGCACAGACTTCTGCCACTTGAGCTAATGGAGTAAGTGATGGCAGAGGCAGTAAGTTGTCATCCTATATGTGATAGATCAGCTCTATAGGGGGATGAGACACTTTTTTTGCCACTGGGTTTCACAGATATCTGCTGACAGAAGAGGAACTGTGAAACTCAGGAATCCTGGGTCTATTCCAGGCTCCTGAATGGAGTGGTCTCTAGTAGTCAAAGACCCTTCTTCCCCGTCCCCTCCAGTCTATGTCTATCCTATTGCTGTCTAACCCGCCCCAGCTCCTCATCTGATTTCAACTGCCCCCACTACCGCTCTGGATTCCTTGTCCCAGTTTCCTCTCTCCCCGCCCCCATCCCTCAGATGGGATGTTCGTTCCAGTCTGGCAAAATTATAAGACTTCTCAACATTTCAACACTTCCCATTCTAAATTTTCGGTTGCTTAACTATAGGCTAGCTCTGCCTACAACAAAGCATATTCAGAACCTCTGATTAAAGGGATTATAAGTGTAGCAACCTCCATCATAGCTAGTCACCAAAGATTGAACCCGAGCCATCCAGACTTAAAAACATGAGCTTCTACTACTTGAGTTCAAGATATAATTCCCTTAGCTGGTAGCTATACAGTTATCCTGTAAAAATCCACAAGAGGAGGGCACAAAACATGTTGGACAGTGAATTACAAAAGTGCCAAATATTATTATTAGACCTGCAGTACTTTTCACAATGAACATCAGCGGGGGATAAACTGGGAGTTTAAGAATATTTGGAAAACAATTTTAGAATAACATTCAGTGCTGTGGTTTAAAAGAAAAAAAAAAGCAGTTAAAACTAATAACTTAGCAATATTAAGTATTGAAAAAAAAAAAAAAAAAACTTCTAGGAGCTATGGGATACAAGTTAAGAATGTTGAAACAGGAAGATGTTATGCTTAGTTACCACTTGGGCAAGGCGGCGTGCTATGTAATACCTGCAAGATTTCACTGTAATGTTTTACAATATATAGCAGCGCAATGCTGATTCCATTGATATTGTTGAGCAATTCATGCTGATTTTATTTCAGCCCACATCTGAATAGTTTTGAATACTATAGATCACAATTTTCAGCTCAGTTGGTCTGAACATGCAGAGCTTTAAAACTGCTATGCTCTAAACTGTATATTAACTACAATTTTATAAACCTGCATGTCAGAGAACTGTGCGCCACTATTACTAGACAGTGGTGCAAGACAATTCAGTGTGAATCACAGAAATGTAGGACTGGAAGGGACATCAACAGGTCATCTAGTCAAACCCCTGCACTGAGGCAGGACTGAGTAATAACAACACTAGACCATCCTTGACAGTTGTTTGTCTAACCTCTTAAAAAACTCCAATGCCTGCTATTCCATAACCTCTCTAGGTAATTTGTCCAGTGCTTAACTACCTTTACAGTTAGGAAGTTTTTCCTAATGTTTAACCTAAATCTCCCTTGCTTCAATTTAAGCCCATTGCTTCTTTTTCCTGTATGTCCTGAGTGGGACGGGGGTGGGTCCAGGCAGTGGGATTGGGAGGAGGGAGGTCGAGGAAGTTGGTGGGTGTGTGGGGATGGACCAGGGGAAGCAGGGTGGAGGAACTGAGGGGGACAGGACTGGGATGGGGGGAGTAGGGTAGGGGCTGAGGGGAGCATGAATGGGACAGGGTAGAGAGAGCTGTGTAGAGTGGGGCGGGGTGGGGGAGACAATGGGGCTGGGTTGGGGAGAGGGACAGAGTCTGGAAGGGATGAGACAGAGGGGAGCAGGGCTGGAATGGGGGGAAGTTGAGGGGGAGCGATGGGGTGGGATGACAGGAGAGGCTGAAGAAGAGATTTGGGGTAGGGCAAAGCTGAGGGAAGTGGGTTGGGGGGAGCAGGGGGACTGCGGGGGAGGCTGTTGGAACAGGGGCAGGGACTGAGGGCAGTGGGTTCGGGGTGGGAGGTACAGGGGGGACTGCAGGGGAGGCTGAGGGAACAGGGTCAGGGTGGGGGCTGAGGGCAGTGGGTCGGGTCTACACTGGCACCTCTCAGCATTGCTGTGCCGGATGGCAGACCTGCGCCAGCGGTACCCTGGCGATGGAAGAGTCCTCAGTGGAAATGCAGACTTCATGACACAGACCCTCCTCGTCACTTCAAACCTGGTGCTGCTCTGGTCAGTTGCTAGGCTCTTGTTACTTTCAAACCCATGCAGGGTATCTGGCTCTTTTTCAGTTCTCAGGTTAAGAAAAGCCTCTGCATTTTGTGAGGGCTTCAGCATTCACTTTCCTACTTGACAAACTGTCTGCCTGACACATTGCTCCCAGGGCATTCATCTTTATTCATCAGCGGTAGGTCCATCAGATTAAGGAGCAACACAGGGGGAAGCAACACAATGGTGTCAAGGATTTTTAATTTTTCAAACCACTTTGGCCTCAACAGTGATAACAGCAAATCTGGACAGAGCAGATGGGTGTCAGGATGGGTTTGGGTATTTATTTTTTTAAGTGAAAATGTTTGGGTCTGAGCAAAGACTGCAAACTTCCCTTTGGAAACCTCTGCTGATCTTTTGCCCCAGGGGCTAACGACAGCCTGGAAGCCGGGACAGATTTCCACATCCATGCAGCGTGAGATGATCAGGGGGAGGGGAGGGACTGTGGGGGAGGCAGAGGGAACAGGGTCAGGGTGAGCGCTGAGGGCAGTGGGTCGGGTGAGATGATCGGAGGGGAGGGACTGTGGGGGAGGCAGAGGGCACAGGGTCAGGATGGGGGCTGAGGGCAGTGGGGCTGAGGGGAGCCCCCCCAGAAGGACCTGCCAGGGGGCCAGGTGAGCCCAGCAGTGCTTACCTGGAGCGGTTCCCAGGAAGCATCCAGCAGGCAGGTCCCTCCCAGTCTCTCTGGCCCCTTCCTAGGGTCGAGGGGAGGGGAGAGGAAGGGGGGGCTCTCTGCCCGGCGACCGCTGCCTGCTGCCGGAGTCTATAAGCCCCGCCCCGCTGCAGCACGCAGGGGGGCAAGACCTCCTCGCTGCCTCTCTGTGTGCCCGGGGCAGGGGCAGGGCAGGGCTGCGCTCTGCAGGCTCCTGCTGGCCGGCCGGCGGGCCCCGTGGGCTGGCGCCGCTGCGCCGGGAGCTCAGCTGCGCGCTGCCCCAGGGAGGAAAGGTGAGTGGCGCCGGCTTGCCGCGGTCCCCCTCATATAGGGTGACCAGACGTCCCGACCAATGTAAGGTCGGGACGCGGGACAAGTCCCCTAAAATCGGGACTGTCCCGATAATATGGGGACGTCTGGTCACCCTATGTATAGGCACCTATTACTCCCTTCCCCCACCCAACCCTATTTTTCACACATGCTATCTGGTCAAAATAAGCACTGCAGCAGCTCCCATTCAGCCCTACGGCTGTAGCTGCTACCTGCACTGATGGGAGAGTATCTCTTATCAAGCATAGTTACGCTGCCGGCCCGAGCGGTGGTAGCTATGCCTGCGGGAGAAGCGCTCCACAGTAGGCTTGTCCACAGCCCTGAGCGAGCTCTCCAGTGTAGACTGAGCCTCTGCTTGCTGTGAGGTGCCAGTAGGGAGTGCCCCAGTGCTGAGTTGTCCCCTTTATCTGTTTTTCACATGGAGTCCTGCTGCACGGGGTGGTCCCTGCCTGCCCACCAGGGGGCCCCTGTGAGAGGGGTGGGGTGGAGGCTGAAAAAATGTTACGCTCTGACACTGCCCCCAAGCTGGCACGTGCCGGCCTGGCAGCGGGCAAGGGTGGGGTGAGACAGCAGTTCATCGGGCTGGCAATGCTCCCCCTTCCCACCCTGGCTGGCATGTGTGCTGCCACTCTGTTTCAGCAGGGCAGGGCTCACATTGAGCAGTTGCTCTATGGCAGGGGTGGGCAAACTTTTTGACCCAAGGGCTACATCTGGGTATGGAAATTGTATGGCAGGCCATGAATGCTCATGAAATTGGAGGATTGGGGTGTAGGAGAGGGTGAGGACTCTGGCTGGGGGTGTAGGCTCTGTGGTGGGGCAAGAAATGAGCAGAGTGTGGGAAGGGGCTCTGGGCAGGGGGGAAAGGGTTCTAGCTGGGGGTGCAATTTCTGGGGTGGGGATGAGGGATTTAGGGTGCCGGAGGGTGCTCTGGGCTGGGACTGAGAGGTCTGGAGGGTGGGAGGGGGTCAGAGGTGCAGTCACCAGGCAGCGCTTACCTCAAGCAACTCCCAGAAGCAGCAGCATGTCCCCGCTCTGGCTCCTACGCAGAGGTGCGGCCAGGCGGCTCTGTGCTCTGCCCTGTCCCCAGGTGCTGCCCCTGCAGCTCCCGTTAGCCGTGGTTCCGAGCCAGTGGGAGGTGCGGGGGGGCACTTACGGCGGGCGCAGTGTATCAGCCCCGTGGTTGCCCCTACGCGTCGGAGCCGGAGGGGGGACATGCCACTGCTTGTAGGAGCTGCAGGGAGCCCCAGTCCCTGCTCCCCGCCCGGCGCTCAAGGGTTGGATTAAAACGGCTGAAGGGCCGGATGCGGCCCCCAGGCCATAGTTTGCCCACCCCTGCTCTATGGTTGGGGGGGGTCTGTGCGGCTAGAGCGGCTCCGCAGCTCGGTGTGCCCAGCGGTGCTAGAGCGGCGCCTTTTCCATCCCCCCACCCCACGCTGCGATTGGGCTAGACTGGCTCCACCCAGGCTGAGATTCTTTGGCGCGTGCGCAGTCGCGGGGAGGGGGCGTGGCCGGCGCTACTGAGCTGTTGGGAGCGGACTCGGGGCCGTTTCGCGAGGCCCTTGTTGCCGGTGGGGGTTGGGCGGCCCGATGGCGACGTTCTTCGGGGAGGTGGTGGCGGCGCCGTCCCGGGCCGGGGTGGACGACGAGGAGGAGGCGGCGGCGGCGGAGCGCGAGGAGACGCCGGAGGACCGCGAGATCCGCAGGGAGCTGGAGAAGAAAAGGTAACGGGGGGGGGCGGGCGGGGGCAGCGCGCGGGAGGCCGCAGGGAGCGAGCTCGAGCGCCCGGCCGTGTCAGCGGCGGGTGGGTCCCGCCCGGGGAGAGGCGCAGCGCTGCTGCCTGAGCGACGTGGCGCTCGGACGCTGTTTGTGGGGAAAACGCGGGGTCGGGCCTGAGAGCCGCGTTGTCTTTATAAAACCTAGTACGGGAGGGGGGCGAGCCCGGTGCGGCGTGGCCTGTGCTCAGCCCAGTTTCTGGGCTGAGCTTATTTTCCTCCCTCTTGTCTCTCTGGGTGCCAGGCAGGAGTCCTAGCCATGTAGGGCTGGAAGAGACCTCAAGAGGTCGTTAACCCAGTCCCCTGTGCTGAGGCAGGACTGGGTATACCTGGACCATCGCTGTCAGCTGTTAGGAGGGGTTTAAGAACAGGTTGGACAATGGTGGGTATTCCACTGTATCCATTGAAGCGTTTTCCACTGCTTAACTAGCCTTATAGCTGGATTTTTTCCCTAATATGGAACCTAAATCTCCCTTGCTGCAGATTAAGATAATTACTTTGATCACTAGCTGCACATGGGAGCTTTGTAACAGCCCTTAAGGTGTTTGAAGACTATCAAGTCTCTCCCCTACTAAGCCCCCCTCCTTTGCTCAAGACTAAAACATGCCTAATTGTTTATAACCTTTTAGTTTTCTAAACTTTATCATTTTCATGTTTTTACTCTGGACTCTCTCCAGTTTGTCCTCATTTTCCTATGCTCAGAACTGCATCTGCAACTTCAGCTGAGGACTCACCAGTGCCAAATAAAGTGGGTCAAGACTTCCTGTGTTATATATCTGACATACCTGTTAATACACCCCAGAATGATAGCCTTTTTCATAACTGCATCACATAGTGGACCACAAAATGAATGAGTCAACAATAACCCCTAGATTCTTTTCAGCAGTACTACTGCCTAGCCAATTATTCCCAATTTTATAGATGTGCATTTGATTTCTTCCTTCCTAAGCGTAGTACTTTGTTTGCACTCATCTTTATTGAATTTTGTTGATTTCAGAGCAGTTCTCCAATTTGTCAAGGTTGTTTTGAATTCTATTCTTGTTCTCCAAAGTACTTGCAGCCCCTCCCAGCCAGGTGACATTTGCAGATTTTATAAGCATACTATCCATTATCCAAGTCATTAATGAAAATATTGACTAGTACTGGACTCAGGACAGACCCCTGTGGGACCCCACTATATACATCTCTCCAGTTTGACTGCAAGCCATTGATTACTACTCTTAAACTGGTTGAAAGACCATAATCTTGCACCTATTTTATAGTATTTTCTTCTAGACGACATTTACCCAGTTTGCTTATGAGAATGTCATGTGGTACTGTGTCAAAAGCCCTACTGAAATTAAAATATATCATATCTACTGTTTACCCCCATCTATTAGGCTAGTAACCCTGTCAAAGAAGGAAACTAGATTGGCTTGACATGATTCGTTCTAGAGAAATCTATGTTGGCAATTACTTAGAACCCTATTATCCTCTAGATGCTTACCATTTGATTTAGTTAGTAATTTGTTCCAGTATTTTTCCAGGTGTTGAAGTTAGGTCTGTAACTCCCCAAGTCCTTTGTTCCCTTTTTAAAAACTCAGTCCTGTGTTTGCTCTTCTCCAGTTGTCTGGGACCTCACCTGTCCTCCATGAGTTCTCAAAGATAATCACGAATGGTACTGAGATAACGCCAGCTAGTTACTTAAATGCCCAAGGGTGAATTTAATCAGGTTCTTCTGATTTGAATACATCTAACTTATCTAAATATTCTTTAACCTGTTTTTTCCCCGTTTTGGCTTGTGTTCCTTCCTTTGTGTAACATAGGATGAGTCTCACAAAAACTATTTTTGTATTGTTTTTCCAGATCATAGAGAGAGGTAAATGGATCTAACCTTATTGCACAACGTATGTTCCTATCCATTGTTTGTTTTTGTTTGCATTTAACCTATTTCTGTTTCTTATGCTAGGGAGGTCCACATCCTTTGGAGTTCGAAGTTAAGTGCATCTACTGGAAGCTTTACAGATGAGCAGTTTCCTTGCTCTAAGTTTATATTGGCGATAGGACATAATGCTGTAGGTAAGTGGTCCAGACTGAGAAAAAAGCTTTAGAAACTCTATACAATTGTTTTACCCTGCTCCCACTGTAACTTTTGAATACTGAGCAGTAGCAGGTAGGAACATGGGGAAGGTGTGTGTGCTAAGAGAGCGCTTTTCTACATGAAGCCATGTTTGATTTTGCTTTGGGTCTCACCATGACTGTTAAACTCCCTTTTATGCAAAGGATAGCAGCAATCTGGGTGCCTGGCAAAATGGGTAGAGAATTGCAGTGCTCCTGCAGGAGGCATTCTGACCATGCTCGGGAGGGATTTTAATTACTTCCGTTTATCATTCAGGAGATAAACTTTTAGACCTGATGTTGGTGAAGAGAACTTTCCAAATGTAAACTGAGGTAATGATGCGTCTTTAGACAGCACCAATAATTCTGAAGTTGTACATTGCTTTGCCATACTGAAAGTGTCTTTATTTTATTTCTTTCGATACCTGCAGGAGGTAGCATTTAAAAATACATTTTTTTAAAAGTATCTATCCCATATGGTTATCTGATACATCTTGAAAAATGCAAATGATCCCATAAAGATGACTTCATCGCTCATGTCAATTTATCTGCCACTCAGAAGCTAAGAGTAGGAGCAAAGGCAGGCACTGAAGCTTTTTACAGTGGAATGCAAATAATCTGTTTTGGGACACACAGGGTAGCAGAGATACAGTAAGTTCTCACTTAACGTCGTCCTGGTTAACGTTGTTTTGTTACGTTGCTGATCAATTAAAGAATATGCTTGTTTAAAGTTGCGCAATGCTCCCTTATAACGTTTGGCAGCCGCCTGCTTTGTCCACTGCTTGCAGAAAGAGGAACCCATTGCAGCTAGCTAGTGGGGGCTTGGAACCAGGGTGGACCGGCAGCCCCCCTATCAGCTCCCCTAAGTTCCCTGTATGGCAGCTGCCCAGCAGACTGTGAATTGCCGGCAGTTCAGCTGTCCCTCCCCACGCTGCCCTGTGCTGCTCCTGCCCTCTGCCTTGGAGCTGCTCCTGGGAGCCTCCTGCTTGCTGTGTGTGTGTGTGCGCGCGCGCACTAATGTCAGGGTGTCCCCCTGCCCTCCATCTCCACCGAGCATGGTGGAGGGGTGGGGGACATATGACAGGGCTCAGGACTGAAGGGAGCTTGCTGGCAGCAGCTGCTATCTCAACTTGCTGATCTACTTTAAAAGGCAGTGTACTTAGAGTGGGTTCAGCGTACTTAAAAGGGGCAATGCGTGACACACACACACACACACTCTCTCTCTCTGTGTCTGTCTCTCTTTCTCTCTCTGCCATGCTGTGTCTCCTCCCTCCATTCCTGCTGCCTTGTACAGTGTGAGGCTACATTAACAACACTGTGTTAACCCTTGAGAGCTCAGCCGAGTGCTAGTTCATCATTTAGTAGTAAGGCATTCCCTGGGAAATATCCTACCCTCTGACTCCTCCACCTCAACCAAGCTTCACAATCATCATTGCTGTGTACAGTATTATTGTTTGTTTAAAACTTACACTGTGTGTGTGTGTGTGTGTGTGTGTGTGTGTGTGTGTATGTATGTGTATATATATGTGTGTGTGTATGTGTATGTCTTTTCTCTGGTGAAAAATTTTCCTGGAATCTAACCCCCCTATTTACACTAATTCTTATGGGGGAAATTGGATTCGCTTAATATCGTTTCGCTTAAAGTAGCATTTTTCAGGAACATAACTACAAGGTTAAGCGAGGAGTTACTGTATACTTGCTTGTCCTGCCTTATAACAGCCAGGAAGCTGGGATGGGAGTAGAATAATAAAGACGCCTCTCTTGCAGTCTGAGTCCCCAACAGCCATGAATTGGTAGGAAAGGGGAAAAGCTCCTTCCAGCAGCCCAAGGGTGGATTGGCACTCCAAATTTCAGAACCCTATTTAAATCTATTCTTGACAAGGGTTTAAAGATGTAGTGTGAGTTTGAACTAGCTACCATAATCTAACTCTCACATTCTAGGCCTTGTCTTAACTAGTTAAGTTGTACTTTAGCACTTGCTAAGCTGGTCAAGCTAAAGCATGGGCTTTTTGCTTCCCCCATGGCTTTAGCTTGACCTGCTTAGCATGTGCTAATGTCCAGCTTGCCTGGTCTTAACTAGAATTTTTGAAGGTGTGTGCTAGTTTGAACTAGCTGATGTGATCTGAAACCTCTTTAAATCCTAGTCTAAACAAAGCCTCAGAGAGTGGAACATTGAGCAGAGTAGGATAGGAATTCTAGCACCTTCCTTTGCTGTCAACTAGGGATGAAATCTGACTTTCTCACCAGGGATTTGCCCTTGGATTTTATTTGAGGGGGGCCCCCCTTCTTCGTCTCTTAATATTGGTTTCTGATCAGTATGCTTAGTCTCTGGCTAGGTGGTGTCTGGTAAATTCTTCGAGCCCTACTTTTGATCACTTCCTGTAAATTGTGAAGTTCACTTTTGGCAAAAGCAGGCAGAGCTTTGCTCTGAGTTTTGGTACTGAGGAAGAAGCTAGTACCAAAGCCATGATGATGTAGATTAACAAGATAAGAAAAGTTGCTTCACTCATTAAGGCAAAAGTGCAAGTATTATTTGAATAGTGCACTCCTGCTATTTACAGTAGTTGGGTCTGATTTGTTTCAGAATTGAAAATTGCATCATGGTCACTGTGATGGAGGCTTATATTGCCATGTCAGAGGTGTGTTTTTGAGATGAATGTAGCACTCATTCCCTGGGTGGTGGAAATAGCTGCATACTAGCATGTTCCGTTTGAGTGTCTAATCATGAGAGATGAGTCTGAAAGGGAAAAGATTCTGAACATATTATCTTGTAGTTTCAACCAATTAATGAATGCAGTAGATGTGATACTGATTTTGGAGGGAGATGGTTCTCTCTGCACAGTGGACAGTGTCTGTTGCCTCAATAACAAATAAAGATCTACGTTTTTCTGTTTATTTTGTAGTATCTGATGAGAGAAACAAAATATTTCATGTGTGACACAAAAAGTATTTAGAATATACATAACATATATTTGATTAATATTAACTGAGATTTTTTTTAAATGACATTAATATTTAAGATTACTTTCATTCTTGATCTTTCCAGGTGAAAGGGTACTAGAGTTTGTGGTTTTGTTGCAACCACTAACTTAATGTAATTGATAATGAGTTCCCCCCAAAAAACCCAATCACAAACAAACTCTAGTAATCCAGGTCAGGAGGTTTTGTGTAGAACAGTGACTTTTGTTTTAATGGGAATGTCTTACATATCTGATATTACTATATAAACTAATACCGATGTTGTTCACAGCTTTCCTGACCTCATTTGTTCTGAATTCTGGATGCTGGGAAGCAGTTGGCTCTGTCAAATTGTGGAACGAGTGGTGCAGAACATCAAATACAACAAGTGTTCTTCCAACAGATGCTTTCTGTTTGTTCTACAAATTAATATCTGATCCAACAGTAAGTGGCATAATATGTATGCATTTAAAAATGATTCTCTCCTCCTATCTGATTTTCTGTTGAGAAAAGAGTAAGAGTCCTTTTCAGAAAAGAAAACCAATAAGGTTGCAGTGTTCTTATCACTTTTTCTGATGTGGTAAGCTTTGTCAGCTCACTTGACAAGGTTGCTGAGACATGAGCTGCATTTCAGGAAGTTTAGGGTACTCAACTCTGCCACGTAGCTATATTAAATTATGGAATTCAAGGTTACTTCTAGGTGTTAACTCCCACCCTCAAAGTCTAGTGCTAATAGGTGTCATATCCTCAGTTGGCATAAACTGGTGTAATAAAGTTACATTGACTTACACCAGATGAATATCTGGCCCTTTATGTGCAGTACAAGGAAGATTCATGGCAAGATGGAGTGCTTCATACCAGTTGCAGATGGAAAATCCTCATTGAAATGGTAGTAGTATATAGTGTGAATGTAATCAATATCATGTTAATGTAGAGTCAGTATCTTTTTAATATGAGACAGAAAGGGACTGTAACTGAGTTGTCTGAATCATTTGTTTACAATTCTGTCTTTTCAGGTATTGTTGTGCCAGTGCAATTGCTATGTGGCTGAGGATCAGCAATTTCAATGGCTTGAAAAGGTAAAATTGAGATTAACAGGAGTTAGGCAAAGAATTTTTCTTTTTGGGGGGGGGGGGGGGGGGGGAGGGAACCTCTTATAAGAAAAACAAAACACCTCTACTTATAATGCTCAGTTATTTTCTATATTGCTTTCCATTCCCCCCCTCCCTCTCCCCCAAGCTTCAGAAAACTAAATGTTGTTTGAATTTCGTACCAAGAAGTTCTGTCTAATCCCATTATGGCTGGTACTGGTTGCGTCTGCTGTAGTTAAACTTTCTAAAACAGTTTCCAGTAGAGAGAGCCTCTGTTCTCTCATGCGTCTGACAAAGTGGGTATTCACCCACGAAAGCTCATGCTCCAATACATCTGTTAGTCTTAAAGGTGCCACAGGACTCTGTTGCTGTTCTCTCATACTCATTTTCAGAGACATTTGCCTTTCAGGGTTAAATTTTCCATGGTTGATTTCAACAGAGGTGAATTATTCTAACCACTTTTGAGTTATGGGAATATGGAAAAAATTTTGAGTGTTTGTGGTGTGTTTTTTTTTGTTTTGTTTAGGAAAGAAAAGGTATAACAGCACTTGTACAGGGCTACGGCTGCCAAAAATAACTAGTTTGAAACTTGGCATGGACAAAGTCCTCACTGAGGAGTGTGTGTTCTGCTTTCTTTGAGGGAGAAATGCTCAGTTCCTGCCTCTTTTGTTCCATCACTATAATTCTGCCATACAGAGAGGCTGCTGCTGGAACAATTTGCAATATTGTCAACCCCAGTCACTCAAAAGGCATGAGTCAGGTCTGGAACTATTATGTAGTCAACTTCAAAATCATGAAATTCTTAAATAAATATTGGGTTATTTTTGTTGGCCTTCTAGTTTTTGAAGTGTAGTGTACACTCAGGTCATATTTTTCATGATCTTTTTTTCCTGCAACCTCATGGGTTGTGAACTTTTTTTTTTTTAAATGAAAGCTCAGATTCACATAATCGCTTGACTTTAGGAGCTGAAGTATTAACAAACACAACAGCTGTTGCGAGGCTTAGGTAAAATCATAAGAGTTAATATTATTATGCAAATTACTTAGAACATAAGAACGGCCGTACTGGGTTAGACCAAAGGTCCATCTAGCCCAGTATCCTGTCTACCGACAGTGGCCAATGCCAGGTGCCCCAGAGGGAGTGGACCTAACAGGCAATGATCAAGTGATTTCTCTCCTGCCATCCATCTCCATCCTCTGACAAACAGAGGCTAGGGACACCATTCCTTACCCATCCTGGCTAATAGCCATTAATGGACTTAACCACCATGAATTTATCCAGTTCTCTTTTAACGCTGTTATAGTCCTAGCCTTCACAACCTCCTCAGGTAAGGAGTTCCACAAGTTGACTGTGCGCTGCGTGAAGAAGAACTTCCTTGTATTTGTTTTAAACCTGCTGCCTATTAATTCCATTTGGTGACCCCTAGTTCTTGTATTATGGGAATAAGTAAATAACTTTTCCTTATCCACTTTCTCCACATCACTCATGATTTTATATATCTCTATCATATCCCCCCTCAGTCTCCTCTTTTCCAAGCTGAAGAGTCCTAGCCTCTTTAATCTCTCCTCATATGGGACCCGTTCCAAACCCCTAATCATTTTAGTTGCCCGTTTCTGAATCTTTTCTAGTGCCAGTATATCTTTTATGAGATGAGGAGACCACATCTGTACGCAGTATTCGAGATGTGGGCGTACCATCGATTTATATAAGGGCAATAATATATTCTCAGTCTTATTCTCTATCCCCTTTTTAATAATCCCTAACATCCTGTTTGCTTTTTGACCGCCTCTGCACACTGCGTGGACATCTTCAGAGAACTAGAACTCCAAGATCTTTTTCCTGACTTCTTGTAGCTAAATTAGCCCCCATCATATTGTATGTATAGTTGGGGTTATTTTTTCCAATGTGCATTACTTTACATTTATCCACATTAAATTTCATTTGCCATTTTGTTGCCCAATCACTTAGTTTTGTGAGATCTTTTTGAAGTTCTTCACAGTCTGCTTTGGTCTTAACTATCTTGAGCAGTTTAGTATCATCTGCAAACTTTGCCACCTCACTGTTTACCCCTTTCTCCAGATCATTTATAAATAAATTGAATAGGATTGGTCCGAGGACTGACCCTTGGGGAACACCACTAGTTACCCCTCTCCATTCTGAGAATTTACCATTAATTCCTACCCTTTGTTCCCGGTCTTTTAACCAGTTCTCAATCCATGAAAGGACCTTCCCTTTTATCCCATGACAGCTTAATTTACGTAAGAGCCTTTGGTGAGGGACCTTGTCAAAGGCTTTCTGGAAATCTAAGTACACTATGTCCACTGGATCCCCCTTGTCCACATGTTTGTTGACCCCTTCAAAGAACTCTAATAGATTAGTAAGACACGATTTCCCTTTACAGAAACTATGTTGACTATTGCTCAACAGTTTGTTTTTCTATGTGTCTGACAATTTTATTCTTAGCTATTGTTTCGACTAATTTGCCCGGTACCGACGTTAGACTTACCGGTCTGTAATTGCCGGGATCACCTCTAGAGCCCTTTTTAAATATTGGCGTTACATTAGCTAACTTCCAGTCATTGGGTACAGAAGCCGATTTAAAGGACAGGTTACAAACCTTAGTTAATAGTTCCGCAACTTCACATTTGAGTTCTTTCAGAACTCTTGGGTGAATGCCATCTGGTCCCGGTGACTTGTTAATGTTAAGTTTATCAGTTAATTCCAAAACCTCCTCCAGTGACACTTCAATCTGTGACAGTTCCTCAGATTTGTCACCTACAAAAGCCGGCTCAAGTTTGGGAATCTCCCTAACATCCTCAGCCGTGAAGACTGAAGCAAAGAATCCATTTAGTTTCTCCACAATGACTTTATCGTCTTTAAGCGCTCCTTTTGTATCTCGATCATCAAGGGGCCCCACTGGTTGTTTAGCAGGCTTCCTGCTTCTGATGTACTTAAAAAACATTTTGTTATTACCTTTGGAGTTTTTGGCTAGTCGTTCTTCAAACTCCTCTTTGGCTTTTCTTATTACATTCTTGCACTTAATTTGGCAGCGTTTATGCTCCTTTCTATTTCCCTCACTAGGAGTTGACTTCCACTTTTTAAAGGAAGTCTTTTTATCTCTCACTGCTTCTTTTACATGGTTGTTAAGCCACGGTGGCTCTTTTTTAGTTCTTTTACTGTGTTTCTTAATTTGGGGTATACATTGAAGTTGGGCCTCTATTATGGTGTCTTTAAAAAGCGCCCATGCAGCTTGCAGGGATTTCACTTTAGTCACTGTACTTTTTAACTTCTGTTTAACTAACCCCCTCATTTTTGCATAGTTCCCCCTTTTGAAATTAAATACCACAGTGTTGGGCTGTTGAGATGTTCTTCCCACCACAGGGATGTTGAATGCTATTGTATTATGGTCACTATTTCCAAGCGGTCCTGTTATAGTTACCTCTTGGACCAGCTCCTGCGCTCCACTCAGGACTAAATCTAGAGTTGCCTCTCCCCTTGTGGGTTCCTGTACCAGCTGCTCCATGAAGCAGTCATTTAAAGTATCGAGAAATTTTATCTCTGCATTTTGTCCTGAAGTGAAATGTTCCCAGTCAATATGGGGATAATTGAAATCTCCCACTATTATTGGGTTCTTAATATTGATAGCCTCTCTAATTTCCCTTAGCATTTCATCATCACTATCACTGTCCTGGTCTTTTTACTTGTGTAAAAAGAGTTTGTAGCAGTCTCAGTGAGGCAGAAAGGAAAATAAAATATGCTTTATAGATCTACAAAGAGATTTTAAAATTGAATTGTACCCTTTTTTATATATTTATTTATTTTCCATTAGGCATTGCAGTTAAATAGATGTTAATAGAAACTTCAGCTTTCTTTTTTGGTTAGCAGTTTGACTAAAAATCTCCCTTCTCTTCCTTTGCTGCTCCTCCCCTTCCTCCTCCTCCCTCCTCCCCCCCCCCCCCCCGCCATTGCTCTGCCTTCCATCTCAATGCAGATTTTTTTGGTTATATAACTGCACTCAAAAACAAAACCGTGTAAAACTTTAGAGCCTACAAGTCCACTCAGTCCTACTTCTTATTCTGCCAATCGCTAAGACAAACAAGTTTGTTTACTTTAACTGGAGATACTGGTGCCCGTTTCTTATTTACAATGTCACCTGAAAGTGAGAACAGGCATTCACATGGCACTTTTGTAGCCAGCGTTGCAAGGTATTTACGTGTCAGATATGCTAAACATTCGTATGCCCCTTCATGCTTCGGACACCATTCCAAAGGACATGCTTCCATGCTGATGATGCTCATTACAAAAATAATGTGTCAATTAAATTTGTGACTGTACTCCTTGGGAGGAGAATTGTATGTCTCCTGCTCTGTTTTACCTGCATTCTACATATATTTAATGTTATAGCAGTCTCTGATGATGACCTAGCACAGGGGCTGGCAAACTTTTTGGCCTGAGGGCCGCATCGGGTTTCAGAAATTGTATGGAGGGCCAGTTAGGGGAGGCTGTGCCTCCCCAAACAGCCAGGCCCTATCCTGCTTCTCGCCCCCTGACGCCCCATCCACCCCTGCTGCTATCTCTCCCTGACCACACCCAGACCCCCCCCCCAACTGCCCCCCGCCGCCCCATCCAACACCCCTCTTCTTTCCTGACTGCCCCCTGGGACCTCTGCCCCATCCACACCCCCTTCTCCCTAACTGCCCCCTACACCGCCCCATCCAACCCCCCCCACCCTTCCTGACTGTCCCCCTCTGGACCCCTGACCCATCCACCCACCCCTTCTCCTTGTCCCTTGACTGCCCCGGAACCCCCACCCCTGCTGCCCCATCCAACCCCTCCTCTCATTCCTGACAGCCCCCCCAGGACCCCTGTTCCATCCACGACCCCTGCTCCCTGACTGCCCCCCGCCACCTCATCCAACCCCTCCTCTCCTTCCTGACTGCCCCCCTGGGACCCCTACCCCATCCAACCACCCCTTCTCCCTGACCACCCCCGGAACCCCCGCCCCCATTCAACCCCCCTGTTCCCCACCCTCCGACTGCTCCCACCCGTATCCACATCCCCGGCTCCTGACCACCCCCCGAACTCCCCTGCCCTTTATCCAACCCCCCTCCCCTGCTCCCTGCCCCCTTACCGTGCTGCCTGGAGCACCAGTGGCTGGCGGCGCAACAGTCGCGCTGCCCGGCTGGAGCCAGCCACGCACCAGATCAGGCCGGGCTCTGCAGCTGCACTACCCCAGGAGCTCGCAGCTCTGTTGCCCAGAGTATTGCGCCCGCGGCACAGTGAGCTGAAGCTGGAGGCTAGCTTCCCGGGCCAGGCAGAATGGTCCTGTGGGCCGGATGTGGCCCACGGGCCATAGTTTGCCCACCTCTGACCTAGCACATGTTCGTTTTAAGAAGACTTTCACAGCAGATTTGACAAAACGCAAAGAAGGTACCAATATGAGGTTTCTAAAAATAAGAATAGCACTCGACCCAAGGTTTAAGAATCTGAAGTGCCGTCCAAAATCTGAGAGGGACAAGGTGTGGAGCATGCTTTTAGAAGTCTTAAAAGAGCAACACTTTGATGCGGAAGCTACAGAACCTGAACCACCAAAAAAGAAAATCAGCCTTCTGCTGGTGGCATCTGACTCAGATGATGAAAATGAACATGCATTGGTCTGCACTATTTTGGATTGTTATCGAGCAGAACACATCAGCATGGATGCATGTCCTCTGGAATGGTGGTTGAAGCATGAAGGGACATATGAATCTTTAGCGCATCTGGCATGTAAATATCTTGCAATGCCAGCTACAACAGTGCCATGTGAACGCCTGTTCTCACTTTCAGGTGACATTGTAAACAAGAAGTGGGCAGCATTATCTCCTGCAAATTGTAACCAACCTTGTTTGAGTGATTGGCTGACCAAGAAGTAGGACTGAGTGGACTTGTAGGCTCTAAAATTTTACATTGTTTTATTTTTGAATGCAGGTTTTTTTACATAATTCTACATTTGTAAGTTCAACTTTCATGATAGAGATTGTACTACAGTACTTGTATGAGGTGAATTGAAAAATACTTCTTAAAGTGCAAATATGTGTAATAAAATATAAATATAAATAAAGTGAGCACTGTACACTTTGTATTCTGTGTTCTAATTTAAATCAATATATTTGAACATGTAGTAAACATCCAAAATATTTAAAAATGTTATTCCGTTGTTTAACAGTGCGATTAATTGTGATTAATTTTTTTAATTGCTTGACAGTCCTAATTCCTATTTTTTCTGCAACATTGTTACTTGAGGTCAAAATAAACAACCTTAAAAATTCCCAGGCTGCCCCTAGAAGTTCAACAAATTTTAACTTCACATAGGAGGAAATGAGAAATCTAAAATGTGGAAACAAGAAAAAGAAAGAAAGAAAGAATTAGATATTTATGGAGTATCTAGCGAATAGATATAACTTGGAAATGTAATCTGAAGGCTGTTGCTTAATTTACACAATCATTCTGATTTCATATGGATTCCTTTCCCTATCCACTCACACATTAGAAAAAGGAATCATTCAAGTTTCTTTGTAGAAAGGGCCAAAAATCTGAAGCCTACAGAGCAAGTCAGTAGACTTGGCAGATATGTAATTATCTCCTCCTGTTTAGTAGTTTTTGTTTTGATTGAAGCAACACAGTAATCCCTGTTTTTGAGGGTGCGGTAGAACTGTCAATTAACTTCACATATCTGAGAAACTACTTTTTTGCCATCTGAACTAAAATGAACCCAGTCTTCTGTAATTGGACTCCATTCCTGTTTTAGCATAAACCTCACTTATGCTGGAATTAATATTTTCATTCCAGGTTTTTGGCTGTATGCGGGAGGAGGATCTGCAAGTAACCATTCTTTCGACATGTCCTGTAACTGATTATAAAACCCCTGAATCCACTTTAACGCTTCCTTCTCCTTTTCTGAAAGCTTTAAAGACAAAAGAATTCAAAGAGATCGTCTGTTGTCCACTGCTGGAGCAGCCAAATATTGTACAGGGTCTCCCTGCTGCTGGTATTATGCAACTTCATTTATATTCTTGCATTCATTTATTTTTTTGCTGCATTGCAAGGTCATGCTTGTGTCCTATGCTAACCATTGACATTTATTGGTGAATGTTAATTTTGAACAGCATAACGTTTAACTGATGATCCTAATTTTAAGTTTATCCTCCAATATATAATTTAGTGAATGAGCCAGGAAGATAACATTGTGAAAATTAATTCACAACACTTGGCATCTTACACATCAGTATGTAAAACTGCTGATGTATACAAAAATTATGTTCTGTAATTAACCGCTTATACTGCGTAACATTACATCTTACAGTATATTTTGAACCAGGAGTCACCCAATGAAATTAGCAGGCATAAGGAAGTACTTCTTCACACAACGCAGCGTCATCCTCTGGAGCCCTTTGCCAGGGAATGTTGTGAAGGCCAAAAGCATAACTGAGTTCAAAAATAATTAGATATGTTCTTGGAGGATAGTCCCTCAATGGCTATTAGCCAAGATGGGCAGAGACGCAACCCCATAGCAAAATGGTATATTACTTAAATTGAAAGCGATGTTATGCAGTGTGGATTAGATTACTTTGATGTAACAGTCTTTTCTTTTTGGTTATATTTAGTTCTGAGTTATTGTCAAGTATGGCAGATTCCTGCAGTGTTGTATCAGTGTTACACGGATGTCATCAAACTGGACACTGTTACAATTGAAGCATTCAAGCCTGTGCTTTCTTCTAAGAACCTGAAGAGTTTAGTCAAGGTAAAGCTTAATTTTAAAGATTAGTGGGAAGTTCTATCTCTTGTAGTATCGGAGTGTCTGAGGTTGTAGACTAATCAGACTTAAATGTATAGTATTTGAGAGAGACAAACTTGGATTAACAGACTATCCTGAATATAAACCTTAGAAATTGCCTTAAACTGCTTAAATGCCTTAAACTGCTTCCAGCTATGATTAGCCTCTTAGCAATAGTGTGTGAGAAGCTCTGGATTCACAATAATCATTTCATTTTTGAATTTATTATCTGGTATTTAAAGGAATAACTTCAAGTGACTATTGTAAATAGAACTTCCTATAGATCTTATTAAAAGCCTCTAAGCTACTCATGTTGCTTACTGGTCCGTGAGCTAAATATCTTACCACTGTGCATCCATAGTCAAAATGGTGCTATTCTATTAGCTGTGTATCAGATGAGAGCCATTCTAGATATCATTTAAACATTATTTTGCAAATGTTAATTTTTTTAGTTGTATCAATTTCTTTTAAACCTGAAAGAGTACAGACTTCAGGGACATATTAATCATAAAGGGCCAGATTTTTAAAGATATTTTGGCCTTGGTATGCTCAGTATTGCAACACCTACCTGATTTAGGAGCCAAAATCTCATTTTCAAAAGAGATTTAGGAGCCAAAGTCCCCATGACTGTCAGGTGCTCTATCCGCTAGGCCACACTGTCTCCATCAGCAAGCAAAAAGTTGAGTATTTTCCTTTTTTAAAAATGTTTTGAATGAACATGTTTACAGAATGGCTTCTGTAAAGTAGTTGCCCTGGTTTTGCCAGTTGAACTTGAGTTTAAATGGAAAAAGTGATTGGTAGGAGAATCTTTGGAAATGAGCTGTTTTCAGCTGTGACTGAGATGCAAATTCCAGCTTTCAGACACCACCTATGAATTTTAGCATCCAACAAGACTTCTAAATTGATATCGCTTTGTTGAGGGGAAATAAAAATGCAGCCTCTTCCCCCTCCCTTTTATGGGTGTAACTATTTGAGTGAGAGAATACAGGTTAACAAGTCCTAGTGTGTGATTAAACTGGACACTCCTTTGGAGCTTTCACTAGCTCTCTAGATACTTTTTCATAACACCTGACCCTTATTTATACAGTAACTCCTCACTTAAAGTTGTCCCGGTTAACATTGTTTTGTTGTTACATTGCTGATCAATTAGAGAACATGCTTGTTTAAAGTTGTGCAATGCTCCCTTATAATGTTGTTTGGCAGCCGCCTGCTTTGTCCACTGCTTGCAGAAAGAGCAGCCCGTTGGAGCTAGCTGTGCTGCTCCTGCCCTCTGCCGTGGAGCTGCTCCTGGGAGCCTCCTGCTTGTTGTGCAAAGGGGCGGGGGGGGGGGGAAGAGGGGTGCTAATGTCAGGGTGTCCCTCTCTCCCCCCCGCCCCACAGAGCAGGGTGGGGGGACACAACAGGGCTCAGGACAGAGGGAACTTGCTGGCAGCAGTTGCTATCTCAGCTTGCTGATCTACTTAAAAAGGCAATGTGTTGTGACGAAGTTCCTCCTCTAGCTTGGTGGGTCCTGCGCTTATTGGCGGATTTGCTCACTTCAGAGATTCACCTTGTAGGTCAGGAAACAGCCCAGAGACCTTCCCGTCTGGTAGAAGCCACAGTCCAGGTCAATGCCTCCTGTGTCTGATTAGGAGTTGGGAGGTTTGGTGGGAACCTGGGCCCGCCCTCTACTCTGGGTTCCAGCCCTGTGGACTGCAGCTGTCTAGAGTGCCTCCTGGTACAGCTGCACGACAGCTACAACTCCCTGAGCTACTTCCCCATAGCTTCCTCCCAACACCTTCTTAATCCTCAGCACAGGACCTTTCTCCAGGTGTCTGATAATGCTTGTATTCCTCAATCCTTCAGCAATACACCTTTTCACTCTCAGCTCCTAGTGCCTCTTGCTCCCAGCTCCTCGCATGCATGCTACAAACTTAAGTGAGGTCCTTTTTAAACTCAGGTGCCCTGATTAGCCAGCCTGTCCTAATTGATTCTAGCAGTTTCTTCTCAATTGGCTCCAGGTGTCCTAATTAGCCTCCTTGCCTTAATTGGTTCCAGCAAGCTCCTGCTTGTTCTGGAATTGCCCCTGTTACCTTACCCAGGGAAAAGGGATCTACTTAATCTGGGACTAATATATGTGCCTTCGAACACTCTCCTGTAGCCATCTGGCCTGACCCTGTCACAGTACTTAGAGTGGGGTCAGCCTACTTAAAGGGGCAATGCATGTATGTCTCATGCAAATGGTGTGTCTCCCCTCCCTCCATTCGTGCTGCCTTGTAGAGCATGAGGCTACATTAACAACACTGTGTTAACCCTTGAGGGCTCAGCCGAGTGCTAGTTCATCATTTAGCAGTAAGGTATTCCCTGGGAAATATCCCACTCTCTTCCACCCTCTGGCTTCACCACCTCAACCAAGCTTCACAATCATCATTGCTGTGTACAGTATTAAATTGTTTATTTAAAACTTATACTCTGTGTGTGTGTGTGTGTGTGTGTGTGTGTGTGTGTGTGTGT